GGCGCTGAGGGTGCGGGCTCGGAGCGATGCGCCGAGAAGAGGGATCCTGACTGCTGCCCTGCAGTTGGCCTTGGCTGTTCCCTGCCCCACCTGTGTGAATTCTGCAGGTGCAGGGCTTACACATGCTCCTTCCCGCCCTGATCCCTGTGAGCCCTTCGCTAGGCCTCTCCAGGGCACGGAGTCACTACGGGTGTTTGTCTTCAAGGGCCATGGGCAGCTTCAGAACTGTGCCTTCCGCAGGGTGGGAGGGAAATAGCATACCCGTGCCTTGGGTGTGCTGGGGGAGGGACAGCAACTGGTATACAGGGATATTTATTTGTGTTTGGAGTCATTGTCTGTGTGGCATTCACCTTTCTTTGGGATAAATAGAGCACAGTTCTCTTGGGTAGTAGGTGATGTGTTCTTGCTGCGGATTTGATCTCTGGTTTGGTCACGTGAGGTTCTGGTAAAGCTCTCAAGTCTTGACAAGTTCACTGATAATGTTGCCCTTGTAGGAATGAGTATAAAAGGCACCCTAGGAGAAGGTGAGTGGACAGAATCATAGAATCGTTTAGGTTGGAAAAGACCTTTAAGATCACCCAGTCCAACCATTAACCTAACACTACCAAGTCCACCACTAAACCAATTAAGGGTAGAGTAGTAATTTAATGTTTCCTGGCTTGGTGGCTGGATTATTTTTTAATGAAAGTAAAAACTAGGAATCATTAATGTTGGACAGGACCGCTAAGATCATCAGCCCAACCATCAACCCAACACCACCATGCCCACTAAACCATGTCCCAAACCGCCATATCTACCCACTTTTTTAACACTTCCAGGGACGGTGACTCTACCACCTCTCTGGGCAGCCTGTTTCAATGCTTGAGTACCCTTTTGGTGAAGAAATTTTTCCTAATATCCAATCTAAACCTCTCCAAAGTAGTATTTGTTGTCCTTTTCCAAGTAAAATACAGAACCCAGTCATTTTGAAGGACTGGTTAGGGTGAGGTACTGATGGGAAGGAGAATGTATAAAAAGAGTGGTTTTGTTATTTTCATACCTGGAGGGAATTGTCCATCACTATTGACAGGATACTGGAAATCAATATTCATAGAAAGCAAATATGAGGAAAATGAATGGGTTAGCATTTTTAGTAGCTTTTTAAGGGATTCTTATTCAACCATTTTTGCTTTGAAGGTTTTCTGAGCAGCATGAGTTCAAAAAGCCAAATGATGACCGTGCTCTTCAACTGATGACCAAGTGTGCCCAGACAGTGATGCAAGAATTAGAGGATATTACTATTGCTTATGGACAGAGCGATGAATATAGTTTTGTTTTCAAAAAGAAGAGTAGATGGTTTAAAAGAAGAGCAAGGTAACAGCTGGTTTGATACTGAAGTGAACCTATTTTTAACATCTCTCTGTAAACCTGCAATTCCTCTTTAGATTTGCCTTCATCTGCACACAGAGGTTAGGAGTATGGCTGTGTTTGGGTGTGTATACTACAATTAGTTCAGGTTCTTCATGTGAACTCTTTGCGTGTGATCTTTCAGGAAAATATGTTCAGTGATACAGAGTTTTAAAAAAAGTATTGGTAAAACAAACATTAGAAACGTTGTTAGAACAAACATTCTTTTAACAAAATGTTTCCTTTCCCAAACTCTTTTACTTGATTCTCAATACTTTCTGTTCTTCAGAAGAATCTATGCCATAGCTGATATGTTGGGCCATTATTTAAGAAATGCTGCTATCCACCAGAATTATTGCTACTGATACCTCCGATAATCACAGATATATAATCATACTGATGTATTTCTTTCTTTTTTCCTTTTGCTTTGTGTTTGCAAGCAAGTTCATGACTCATGTAGTCTCCCAGTTTGCCTCAAGTTACGTTTTCTATTGGAAGGATTACTTTAAGGACCAGCAACTTCTGTACCCACCAGGATTTGATGGACGAATTGTGTTGTATCCCACCAATCAAAATTTAAAGGACTACCTCAGCTGGAGACAAGCAGATTGTAAGCATTTCTAGAAAACAGAGATTTGTGCAGTTGAGTTCTCTTCCTCTCTGAATAGAAATGCTTTCACTGCCAGTGTATTTGTACATATAGGTATCAGTGAAAGAACAGCTGGTAGGGTGGTAGTTTTAAATATACAATATTAGAATTGTTTTGGGCTTTGTATGGATGTAGAAATACTCGCTGAAATTCTGAGTCTTCAGGCTAAACTATATTTGTTGCATGCTGAGAGTGAGTTCAGCCCAGGAAATACTAGAATTATTAATAGAATTCATTTGTTATTTTTTATGTTCTGGGTTTGTTTAGCCAAAGTAATCTTCTTTAATGAAGAGATGTGAATGTTCAAATTCACACCATGTAGCAAAATTATAGCAATCAAAAGTGCTGTTTATTCCATGCTAGAACAGACCATTGAATTTAATTTCTAGGTTTTTGTTAGTACCTAGTCCCTGTTGCTCAGATGAAGATAATTTGTGTTACACATAAACACCCTTCACCCTCTGCCCTCCCTTTTCAGAATTTTATAATGGTCTATCTTCTTGTCATTCTTACGATATGCAGTACCTTAAAAAATGAATGGGAAAGATTGTATCTTCTCTAGCAACTGATATTATTAATTCCCCTTTATTCTTGGCTGTTTCTTGGATGTGACTCTGGAAATAAAGTTGTTTTTTCTGAGTAGTCACTCAGATTTGGTAAATAGTCTTTCTCTCTTTTATCTTTTTCTGTAGGCCATATTAATAATCTTTATAATACAGTGTTTTGGATGCTTGTACAGCGAAGTGGTTTGACACCAGTGCAAGCACAGGACAGACTCCAGGTAAGAGTCTCTTGAGGTCTCTTTCCACCACCACCACACCCCC